CCACATGCTTGGAAGGATTGGCAATTTATTGTTGTCTGTCACCTGTAGTTTAAGAGATGTCATCTTACAGGTTGAAATCCCACTTTTGCTAGATAGTATAGAAGAGAATTCTGTGGTTGGGCCCTTTCCTCATGTCATACTTCAATATTTCAATGTTGAATTGGCTGCGGATTCTTGCACAGGATGTGTCATCTTTTAGTTCTTTGGCTTTGCTTGTGTTATTTGTTCTAGAATAAATTTCTTTCTCTTTTCCCCTGACTGCCACCTACTTATCCTTTGTGGCTTAGTTCAGGCATCCTATTTCCTTGGGTAGGTTGTCTATTTGTGGGGAGTGTGTGTGTGTGTGTGTGTGTGTGTGTGTGTGTGTTTACACTAAACACTCTTGAGATTTCCTCCTGTGAACTACCTGAGGAAGGAAAGAATACATTAATTGCTTTTTTGTGTGTACATAGATATAAGTTCAGATAAGTTTTTTGTTGAATAAAACGGTGCATTTAAGACACTCAACTTGGTTATTTCAGGCATGATGATAGAAGTTAGAAGAAACTGATAATGATTCTGTGGGAAGTGGTTTATCAAAAAAGATTTGGGAGCGGGTGTAGAAAACCTGCAATGAAGCAGATTTCTAAATCAGAGTAACATTAGAGAGATGATTAACATAACATACATCTGTGGGTAGCTTTTAAAAGAATTGCCTCTTTGAGAAGGAATCAGGGCAGGAGATTCAAAACAATCCCATCTAGAAACAGACTAGAGTTAAGCTTTTTGTGAACATTTCTTCATGCCAGCCAATCAGAAGACAAGGTGCCTGCAACCACTTTTTCCTTTTGATTTGTGGTTCCTATGGTAATAGAAAGAGAGCCTAGGACATTTCTCTCCTACCTCTCTTAATGAACTTTTAGCTTCTGAAAAATGTGAAAAGCTACTGTTCTTGTCTTTACTGACTTAAAGTCTTGTTTCTGCAGAGTGGCTCTGGTATTTTTGATTGTATACTGGATATGGCAAAATTAATAAATACGTATCAGCTTCCTTGGCTAATGTTATTTCCTCTAGAACCTGAAAATTCAATCTAATTGGCCATTTGCTGTTTATACCAGAACCCAGAATGAATCATTTCCTGTTTTCTATGAACAATCCTAAATTAAGAATACTGGTCATTACAAGCAACTAAATATGAAATTATAACAAACATTTTCGAGTTTTTCTATATCCCTCAACAATCCTCCTGGGTTTCTCTTGAATTTGAGAGTAAAGTCTTTGAAGGAAAGAGGCTTAATTTATTTTGATGTTGGCTTAATAAATATTTGTTAATATTTAACAAATATTCCCACAGAATATTTGTTAAAATTGGTTAAGTATCCACAGTGTCAGAGTTACGTTCCTGAGATGTATTTTAACAATAGTACAGTAATCCAGAGGTTTAATAATAGACCACTGTAAGTTTTAAAAAGGCAAAGAAAAAGATAATAGTCTGCATTGTGAGTATAGCTGAGTTGAAAACATGTTTTTCATTATTTAGGTAAAGAATGATGGATAATAGTTTATTCTAGAATGATCAACATAGGTTTCTTACCAAGTTCCTAAATTTAAAAATAGAAACTTCAAAAATCAATTAATGTTATGGTCCTAGATGCATCTTAATGCTCTTTAAGTTGATGAATGTGGTACTTTTATTTTTATCCATTATTTTCAAATTGGATCAATGTCTTCCTGGTCCATTAGGCAAAAGGAACCTTTTCTGAGCACCGAGTATGTGTTCTTTTATTAAAAGATAGGTATGTTTCCTAGAATGGCATTTTCCATTGAGTAGTGACTATTTTTTTTCCCCCAGCAGTGTAATTGATCACTTAGCTCTAAGGCAATTGCTTGTAGGGCAGTTCTAATATGTTTTAACTACCACCATCTTTACTTTACCAAATGGATAATAACACTGATCTTGAATTTGGAAGATCCTAGTCCTGATCTGAGAGTGGAGACCTGTTGGATAGGTTTTTGGCAGTTGTATCACAACACCAGATTGAGTGATGCCTAGGGTCAGACTGTCTTGGTATATTCTGTTCTGAAGCAAGTAGTATAAGCTATAGAACAGAGTGAAAGGGACCCTGACCCCAGGTCTGGGGTGAAATCAATCCCAGCTCCCACTGAACATTACTTAATCTCTTGAGCCTATGTTTTCTCTTCTCAGTGTTGGGGAAAGGAATGCCTATTGTGTGAGATTATTGTGCAAATGAGTTGAGATAGCCTTTGTACATTTCTACTGTGGGATCTAGCATCGTGGTGACACCTAGTAGACCCTTAGTAAACACTGACATAGTTCTTTATACCACATAGTATCTACTGTGACTGTTATAAAGGTAAATTCTTGGAAATAAGAACCTTAGAGGGTCCTTTAAAACTCTATATCAAGCTTTAAAAAAGCTTTAACACCAAATTTGTAATGAATCCTTAATATTTTGAAGTAAGTTCACAGAAAGTTTGCTTTATGGTAATTTTAAGTATTGACTAGATCATTAGAAGTTAGAAAACTATGGGAAGATAGTTTTTTGATTGTTAATCTGAAATCAGGGGTGGGAGGTCTTTAAGAGTTTCTTCCAGTTCTCATACTCTGCGATTTTTTTTTAAATGAATGTGAAACATTGCCTTAAAAAAGTTCTAGATCCCAAGTTATCAGCAGAACAGTCATGTTAACTTGCAGAGGGAGCTTGACTCTTCTTACTGAATAAATGAAAATCAATTTGCAATTGAGTTTAAGTGTTAATTTAATATTATTATCTGAGTGCAGGTGTAAACCTTAAACTGTGACCTGAGATCTGAGTCGATCAGATAACTACAAAGATTCTAAAAAGGAAACCTAAATTTAACTACAAGATATTGGGAATTTATTTAAATGAAACAAGCCATATAAATGTGTAGCCAGGTGTTGTGGCACATGCCTATAATCCCATTGGCTCAGGAGGCTGAGATGAGGATCGAGGGTTCAAAACCAGCCTCAGCAATTTAATGAGACCCTAAGCAACTTAGCAAGATCCTGTCTCTAAATAAAATACAAAAAGGGCTGGGAATGTCAGTGTTAAGCATCCGGGTTCAATCCCTGGTACCAAAAAAAAAAAAAAAAAAAAAATATGTAAACATGTTAGTGCATGCTGGTATAAAAATTCTTTTAATAACAATGTGCTAGAATACCACTGGGTAGAGAATTTATCTTAGTGGAATCAGAGACAGGATTAATTTCTCTTTCTAATTCTGCTCTCATTTAGCTCTGTTCCCTTGTACCTTGGACAGGTTGTTGTTTTAACAAATCAAACGTCCTCTCCTGGTTCTTGGTTTGTTCATCTGTAAAGTTAATATCTATCTTTCAGGGGTTATTTTGAGGGTTTACTATATCAGCTGTTTAATAAATAACATCAGCTTAATTAATGACAGCTACTTTCATCATATTGTACAAAAATGTATTCAGCATCTTTTCTGTGGTTGACATTCTATGATAAGTAACTGTTGGGACAACAAAGTATGTGTGCTTGGAGTGTCAGTGATGCACTGCTACTGTGTCATCACTGTGACAAGCTGTGGCTGTTATAAGCTCTGGAATTAGTGCTCACATTGGAAATGTATGGTGTTTTCTTTGTTACCAGAGAGMTGCTCAATTTTTTTTATTCCATTCGATTCTTCTGATTTTGAATTCTTAAGTGCCTTTTTAAAACAATCTCAATATTGTTTACATTAAGGGTGAACTAACTAGTAAGTGACAGATGTTGGATAGAACCCCAGCCAGGTCTGATCTCACGCAAAGCCATCTTTGCTTATATTGTAAATGAAGTGAGCATAGAATTTATCCCCCACACCAGAACTCTTTGAGAGTGAAAATTATGCTTGGACAATTAGTGTAAACCAGGAATGTCACAGGCAAATGAGGATATTTGGCTATCCTATTTACAGCCAGAATGAGCAAATTTATGAGTGTGAGTCTAACATTTCTGCACTATTTTGATTAACCTAAGCACCCGCCTTCATTATTTTTTGGTATGGTTATTTATTTTTGCCATAGTAAATTAAKTGCTCTTAGATCTGAGACATATTTATTGAATACCCTAGTCTAATGGTTATTAAATACCAGCCTTATGCTCATTTTTAATATACTTTTCCCCACAATTCCTTTAAAACCAGCAGGCTTCTTAAAAGGGTTTTGAAAGGATAAATAAGTTAAGATTTAGATTCATAAGAATGTCAAGTGGACTTGTGCAAGAAGTCCACATGGGCATCCTCATGGTTCTCAGTGTTTTTTCCTTTGACAATGCAGAGATGTGGAGGACACATCTGTGTTGAGCAGCCCTTTTTGTTGTCCCTCCTCTTTCTTGTTCCTTTTGCCTTTCTCTCCAGGTCTGCTGTGATCTTACTTTAGGGAAGTGCAGGCCACACACACGTGGTGAGAGTTGGGGTGATTACAGATAGATGCCTTCCTAGAGGCATCCTGGTCTTGTGGGGAGAATGTGGGATTTGGGAGCTCTCCCTTCCATTCCTGTGTGTCCTTGTGCTAATCACCCTCTGAGCCTCATTTCCTGGCACCATGGTGTGAGGATTAGGGTGCATGTCTAAGGTGCCTGGCATGTAGTAGGTTCTTAGACAATGATGGCAATTATGATTATATAATTTAGGCAGAAACTGTTGCTTTTATGAAATAATAGTCACAATCTCACCACTAATCTTGTTTTATACTCAAACTCATAGTTCCCTTTAGTGGGTTTTCATTTAAACACTCTCTCTCCCTCTTGATTCTGTTTACTGTATCCTGAGAAATCAGTGGTTGGCAATGGAAACCTGTCCCTGGGACAGAACGTGGGCCCTCTCCCAAGGGTTCAGTGAACTGCCAAGGGCCATTACTGACTTCCAAACCGCTCGGGTGCACCCCTGCCCCAACTAACATTCAAGTTGCCTGTGTGAAGGAGTGATTTGTTGCGGCCTCTAACTGCTTCTTCTCTTCCTTCCTTTTTGTCATCCTGCAGTGTTCTGTGCCAAGGTCTTTGTGGCTAGGCTGCGCCAACCTGGTAGAGAGCATGTGCGCACTGAGTTGCCTGCAGAGCATGCCCAGTGTCAGATGTCTCCAGGTGCCTCTCTTCTTTCTTGTTGTAAATGTGTTTTTACGTATGCCATGAACATTTGTTGAAACTTGCAGTAGTGTGTTTAATCCAATGTTAAGTCTGCTAAATGTTCTGTGTAACCCTCTGCTTTCCTCCAGCCTGGGTGCCCCACATGGAGGAGTTAGTACTAGAGGGGCCCTTCTGAGCGAGCGGGTCTTTGGCTGGGCCCTGTCCTGCTCCCCCTTTTCTGCTCCTGCTTTTTACTCTTTCCCCCTCACCTTGAAGTTGTTATTCTCATGTTTAATAGTTGTGCATGTGCCAAAAACAAACAAATTAAAACAAACGAAAAAAATCCTGACATATTTTCCATTTGGCTATCTTTAACAGTTCTTCATTGAGTTGGGAGGGTTTTATAATTAAAGTAGTGATTTTTCTATTTTGAAACTCATCCTTTTGGTTTGCTTTCTCTCCCCCATTCAAAAAAGCAGTGGGGGAGGGAAGGAATCCCTGATGTTATAAAGCTTCAAATCGAAGTTTACATACAAAGATCACAGCTTTATGCTATGCTGCAAATAACTGTTAGTTTGGGCCACCTCCCAAAGGCCAGACCTGATACCTGTCCTCAGGGTCCACCCAGTTTTCCAGGCCGGGGCCGGCAGAGAATTCCACAGATTAAAGTAAATACTTTTTTGGGGGTGGGGTGGGTGGCATGGGGTTACTCCGGATAAAACTGTGCTAGTGCAAGTGTAGCTGGTGACTTTTTTCAGGTGACTTCTAAGAGAGCCAAGGCCAAACCCAATTGTGGCTTTGTGAAGCTCTGTTTAGAGAAAGCATGTGTTTAATTAAATTGGTATTGGTGGTAATATTTAGTTTTCTTCATTGCATAGTCTAAACACTGATATATTTTTCTTTAAAAAAGCAATATTAAATTCCTGGCATCTGGATGAGACTGATCTGTTTTAGGAAACAGTGTAAAATTAGTAAATTTGTTAGACGGATATTATTGATGGCATGGGTGACTTCAGTGTTTTCAAGGTTATCTTTCTAGTCACGTTCACAGTCTTTAAATGGAACTGGGGGCCTAGGAAGGAGGAATATGTCCTTGGAATTAGGTTGGGCATTTTCTTTACCTGTTGGCAAATGTTCTCTGTAGCATTAGCATGGTTATTGCTTCAGAGTGCTTTCTTTAGAAAGCCATGCTGGAATCTCACTAACACAATTAGCTGGGGAGTGAATTCAGTATAAGGCTTGGTTGTCTTTAGATTAAATGTAAGAAGGTAGGTTTCCAGGTGGTAAATTCCAGGAGACAGGAATTCGGTGTTCATGGAGGCTACAGTATAATAATGTATGTTTATCTTTGGAAAAGCATCTTCCTTGCATGTAATATAATTGGAAAAAAAAATGTTGTTGCAATGGCAGACGGTATTGCATCTGCTCTCCTTGGTTCTGTGTAATGGGGATTTGCGTTGTAATAATAGTGTGCTTTTCTGAAAATGATTATTTGAATGTTACATTTGCTTTCTAATGGGCTGACCCAGTTTTCTCTGGAGTTGGAAATTCAAGTAGGGGAAGAATTGTTCACTGTCTTGAAGCGCAGGTTCTATCTATTGCAGTTAAAAGAAATTGACCAATGGAAAGCACTGTTTAATATATTTTAGTAAGAGTCTTGTGAATTCTCCAGAGGTGGAGTGGGAGGAAGTGTGGGTTCCTACCTTGATGAATGTGTGGGAAAATGCTTCAAAAGTTCTTTGACTCATCTCTCACAGTAAAAGCCATTTAAGAGAAAAAAATTGAAACATTGCCTTCATTGAACCGAATTTTAGTGAATGGAACTAATTAGAAGTATGTAGGTAATTTTATTTACTTAAATTTTAATTTTCATTAGTATGTAATTGAGGGTATGCAGCACAATAAAATAAATTAAGCACTTAGCTGACTAAAATTAGCAAGTCACTATTCTGTCTTGTTCCACATGTCTGTGGAAAGTGATCAGGTTATTAATGAACCTGGAAGACTTCCTTCCTCTCCACTTATTTGTTTTGTGTATTATTACTACTTTAAATAAAAACTTGTGTATGGATTTTTAATTTGTATGTTTTCCTTTTACATTTAATTTAGTATTTTTGTTGTTTGTTTTCTTTTTGTGATGCTGGGGATGGAACCCAGGGCCCTGCATGTGAGGCAAGCACTTTACCACTGAGCTCCACCCAGCCCTTAAATTTACTTTTGTTTTATATATTTTAATGATACCAGTATTTCCCCCTGTACTCATCTCTAAACAGTGTTAAAATTTAGTGCCTTGATTTGAGTTTGAGGTTTCAAAGGATATCTGTTGTGTATATGTTACTATTTTTGGTTTATCAGAAGATGACTTCTTGACATTGCATGCCTCTTGGCGAAGTTACTTTAACCAGGGCAGAGAAGAGAAGGGACAATATCCCTGAAGAGGACAGAACCTAGTTGGCATGGCTTGGGCTGTAGAGTTTCATGAAAGGGTCCCGGTTAAAATGATCACACTGGGCTCTTTGATGGTTCACCTTTAGTTGGTTTAGCCAATCTATATATTATTAGTCAAGAGTGTTCCTTTTGAGAGTGTTCCTTTTGAAAAAGTGGGAGAGTAGTTGCCTTGAGGCATAATTCAGCCACTCAAGATTTGGCCATTCCTGAAAGGGGAAAAGCAGAGACTTAAAAAAATGAAACTCACTCACTACCAACTGTCCTTGGTGCTTCAGGGAGTCTAAGATTCATGACAAGCCTGCGTTTTTCTGATGTGAAGACTGTGACGGGCTGATGAATCCCGATTGACTCAAATTAATATTTACAAAACTGTGAGGTGGTGGAGCAGGCATTTGACCCCACATTTGCCCCATCTCCAAATTTCTCTACACTGGAATGCCACCTTTCTATAGTTTTCTATCCTAGTTTTGTTTGTGGAAATTTTACTATTGAACCATACTATGAATGGTTCATATTATGTATGGTTCATTTAGTCATTATTTGAAAAGAAAAAAAAAATCAAAAGAAAATCCTGTCACATTTTATAGGAAAAAAAATGGCATTCTTTTTGTCAAAATGAATGAATTCTTCACCAATTCCATAAATATTTGCTGAACATTTGGTATGTGCTGGGGCTTCTACTAGTGCTGGGCATGTAAAACAAACAATATAGAGTTGTTTCCTGCTCTCAAGGAGCCCACTGTAGCCAGCAGACCTGTGAATGAAAATACAGGTTGAACTATACATGAAGAAGCCCATGCATGTGTGTATGTGTCTGTGTGTGTGTGTGCGGGGGAGGGAGACAGACAGAGAGAGAACTGTAAAGTTGGCCAACCTATATGTTCTTTTAAAACAATGTGAACCCATTTAAACTAGGACTAACCCTCTACATATTTTAGAACAGTTGAATTGGAATATCCAGAGATCTTTGAACAAGCTGAGCTGAGTCAGTATTTCATTTGCCTCATATATCCAGATTTGACCAGTTGGTTGTTTCATCAGATAATCAAAGAGTTCAGACCCTGTAGAGTATTGATTTGCCCAAGATTCTGGCATGAGATTAATACTGATGTTAATAATAGTATCTTTTATTTTCCACTTTCTTTCTGTGTTTTGGACTCTTGGCCCTAGGTTATCTCTTTTGTTTCTTTTGAGGGAAATTACCAGTGATGCTTTTTTTGTATATGAAGTTATAGAATTGAATTGACTTGCTTGAGGCTACACATTTGTTTAGGTGACAGAACTGGGTTATGAGCCTTGATCTGGACAAATGCAGAATTAGTACTTTAGTCACCAAGTTGTAGTGACTGACTATTGCCATCTTAAAACTTGGCAGCTGTCATTTTTAGGTTAAAACAAATTCCCCTTAATTTTTAGTGTCATAAGTTTGTTTCTTTATTGGTACTGGTGATTGAACTTGGGTGCTACACCACTGAGCTACATCCTCACCCCTTTTTATTTTTTATTTTGAGACAGGATCTTGCTAAGTTGATGAGGCTGGCCTCAAACTTGCCATCCTTTGGTCTCAGCCTCCCAGGTCACTGGAATTTTAAGTGTGCGCCATCATGCTGGGCTCAGTGTCAGATGTTTAAAACTGAATTATACCTGGAATATAGAGTTTCCTTGTAGTACACTAACACATTTTCTTAGGAATACTGCGGGAGCCTCATTTGGGGAGTGGTATTAGTGACAGTTTTTTTCATGAGTAGGGCTGATTGCTTAGGATGACAGTGAGGATCCTGTGATCAGGCTGTAGTGCCTCCTTCCTGCCAAGGTGTATATTCCTGGGCATTGATGAGTGCAGTGTCTTGACAACTGTCTTGCTTGTTGCTTTCCCAATCTGAGTACATTCAGTGAGCCACAGTGGTCCCAGAACACTGTGGTTGACACTTACCTTTGCTGCTGACCTAAGATGATATTTTTTAGAGGATGGAGGTAACTTGTAGAAAGAACCTTGGTTTTAAAGCCAACAAACCTAGATTCTAGTCTTGCTCCTTCTACTTAGTGTCTCTGGAATGCCCGCACAAACTACTTTCCTTACCTGAACTTCAGTTTCCTTATCTTTAAAAGTAAAGGGCTTTTGTGAGGTGTAAGAAGGTAAATTGCTCCCTCCTTTTGCGGGGGATGAAAATGCATTTTTCTTTGCTTGCTCCAGGTTCTGTATTCAAGAGGTAGAGTTTCAGTCTTAAGAGTCTTAGATTCCAGGATGAGTTCAGCAGAAACTGTAAGAGCCCCTGCATTTGGCTGCTGGGGAGAGTTCTCCTTTTGTGCAAGGCTTGCTGCTTTGCTTTTGTCTCTTTCTAATGAGTATCTGGGACTTTGTAATTCCTTACTGATTATCCTATTGCACTCTCCTTCTGAAAATGTGAAGGCTTGGAATAACCTTTGGACTGCTGAGTGGGAGAGCCTGCAGTATTTTATGAACACTGAATAGCAGGTTTTTTCCTCTTCATAAGAAAGTTTACAAATATAGTACCCCCACATCCGTTGGTAACCTCTCCATCCATTACCACCCAGAGAGAGTATTTCTT